TGCTCCCACTGCAGTCAGCATTCAGAATTTTCATTTGTGCAATCATAGGAGACACCACAAAAGATTATAGGTTAATAAGAATTTAAGGGGGTGGGGCCTCTTACCCTGATAGGGAGTTGTCTCTTGTTTATCTATACAAGTTCCAGTATCTTTCTGTTTCTAAAAGGGTCATTTCCATAGACTACATTAAATACAGAAAAATTCTCCTAAGTATCAGTAAGAATTCCTGCCATCCAAAGGTGCTACAACCTCTCACTGGAAATGGTCAGAAAGTTACTGAAATGTCAACTCTGCCTGGGCGCGCCACATTCCTTCCAAGACTGAGGGCTGCATCCTGCCAGCACCCCGCCCCTCCCCTGGCCATATGCAGCAGGCTGATAAGGCCAACTTCACAGAGAATGTTCCAGGCTGTTCCCAGCCATATGGGATAAACGCCTTTGGAGAGTGCCAGAAAGGAAAAATCTGGGAAATGTGCCATTAAAAAACAAACTCCAATCTTACCAGCCTATCTATCCCACTAACTGTCTAAAAACCACAATGGAGACAACTTCCCAGGAAAGCAATCAACTGACTGCTTATCTCAAAGGAACCAATTGTCTCTGATTTTGCCAATCAAGTCTGTTCACATGGGGACTGAAGGAAGGGAATGAAGTGCTAAGTATATTCTCTGTATGTTTAAGGACAACTTCCCATTTAAGGTAACTTAAAAAAAAGGTACATATAAAATAGAATAAAACAAAGAAATAAAGAAGATAAATAAAAAGAAAAAAGGTACATATTTGAAAAATATTAGAGAAGACTGAAGACGTAGGCTATTTATAAATGCTGCAATGCAGCAGTCAAACGTTAGCTGCATCATTCAGCAAGTAATTTGAATTGATCTCAGGGGATAAAACAGGAATTACAACTATGTCCTCTATTGTAATAAATAAAATGAATAAAATGAACTTGTCAGCATTCTTACAATACTGCCAGATCTCTGGGAAGAAGAGTGGGGTCTAAAGATATGAACCCTGGCTAGGAATTTCTAATTTAATCCAAATATATACCATGCTTCAGAATGATCCCTGATACCAAATACAAACTTATACACATTATCCACTGAAAATGGATTCCTACAAAAGAGACTAGACATGAATATCTTTGTCTTCTTGATGAAGGCCAAGAGACAGCTGTTTGAGGCAGTTCTTGGTATTTGGGGAATTTTTAAATGCCTTAACCTAATTTATAGAAGTTATATGCCCCACTGTACAAGGGAATATAGCTATCTTTGGGAAGCAGGCAGAGGCAGTGGGTGGGAATCACACTGTGTTAAGCAACACAAAAGACTGCAGATAAAAACATTTTCAAAGCAAAGGTCAAATGCTCCGGACTCTGTAAGCCTGGCACCTGCAGTGAGTGGTTTAGGATACCCTTGCACAGATCTTAGACAGTAGAATTCAGCAATCAGAGTTTCTCTACAGAATCCCAAAAGAGAGAAAAAATTATAGTGAAGCTGAAAGAAGTCTCAATTAAAAACAAAGCATTGGGATTGCCATTCTTTCAGCAAGCTGAATTTACTGGATCTAAGGGGCATTTGCAATACTACAAAATGAATTCTGATTTTTTGGGCAGGACACCAGACCTACTGTTTGCAAGAAAGGGATCTTTAGGGACTAAGAGGATGAAAGGATCATTTGGCTCTATGGAAAAATTCATAACCATCACCCAAAGCAAAAGGTCACAAAAAACAATTCATCAGTTGTTTTTGTTGCTTAGTCAGAACCCAAATGTGCAGAATCGACAATATCTTTTTTCCATGGCTTAGGACGCCAGCCTAGTACCAAATTTTAGATTTCCAAAGCAAAAGAACTATATCCATGGTCGTAGAAGGGCTTCCCTAAGAACCAACACCAAAGAATTCATTAGCACCCATAAAATTGTATACCAGTTGATTCTCAGGTCAAACAAGATTAACTCAAAACCAGCTTAGCTGCAGATTTTAGTGGCAGATTTGATGGTAAGCAGAGAGGTCAATAATACATAAAGGATAACTGAATGCCATAAATAAAAACAACAAATATTTTTGCTTAAACCACATTCCAACCAAGATTGTGGATCAGCATGTCAGCCTTCAAACTGATTAATTCATTTCAACTTGTTAGCACAATTCTGCAGAGGTGAGCAGGGACTTAGCTTTAAGAAAGCAAAAGATTCATACTGCATTGCATCAAAATCCAGAAATGCAGAGCAATATTGAGAAAACTTACTTCTGAATGCTTCCCAAATACTATCTTGCTGCTACTTACCTTTTAACCTGCAAAATTCAGATGAGAGGTATTTAAGTGCCTTATTGTTACTATGACTCAAAACAGGAAAACATTATAATGTGGCCCATTTTTATAAACCTCATAAATAAATAACTCATCTGATTTATAAAAGGGCCTGCTTTGGATTTATCACCTATAATCACTAGAAATTTCCAATGTTTATATTTCTTATTTTGGAATATCGAGATGCTAAATTTTTTCTTTTTGGAAAAGGTCCGACTTAGAAAACAAAAACTGTACACAAATAAAATATATAAAGAGAGCATGTTTGTTTTGAGACAGAGTCTCACACTGTTACCCAGGCTGGAGTGCAATGGCGCGATCTCAGCTCACTGCAACCTCTGCCTCCCAGTTTCAACCAATTTTCCTGCCTCAGCTTCCCAAGCAGCAGGGATTACAGGCAACTGCTACCATGTCCGGCTAATATTTTGTATTTTTAGTAGAGATGGGGTTTCACCATGTTGGCCAGGCTAGTCTCAAACTCCTGACCTCGTGATCCGCCCACCTCGGCTTCCCAAAGTGCTGGGATTATAGGCATGAGCCACCACACCCGGCCTGAGAGCTGTTTTTGCTTTAAAAATGAAAAGGTAAGCTCTATTTTATTATAGGAATTGTGGCAGAAGAAGAAGTCAATGGAACAGGAAACAAACCCAAGTTTACAGTTTTTGTCAAATTTAAAAAATATAAATTTTACTATGTATTTTCAGATTTTTCCCCCCAAATATCTAGGATAATCTGTTTAGTCCCTTGGTTCTTAAAAACCAAGTAGCCACCAATAAAAAGTCAGCAAACACTACATGCAAACACCAGGATGGTGATAAGAAATTAATATATTCATGCCTTAAAGAGAAAGAAAGGGAGGTAAAAAAAGGGAAGGCTTTGAAAATTTTAGAGTAAGCTTATTAACACTTCTGATAATTAACACCAAAAAACTCCCAAACAAATCCTAACCAATTTGTTTAACAGAAACGTCATGCAGGCAAGGTTTTTTTTCCCCCCTTTTCTTTTGATCATTCAACCTCTTTGATACAAAATATGCCTTCACTGCAAGCCAGGCAAAACCAAAAAGGCAACCGGTTTTCTGCATGCTGGTCAAATACCTGGACTCTGCGTTTACGAAACGATGACAACATGATGGAGGAATGTGGAGTCTAAAGAGGGAGGGGGAAGAGCAAGATAACAAGCTTCTAAGGGCAAAAAGAACAAAATCATGAAGAAAACAGGTATTTCAAAATATATGAATACAGGTTAAAAATCCAATTTCAGATATTTTCTCAGTGTTTTCTCTCTGACATTCTGTATAGTGTCTAAATCCCACAGGGGATTTAAAATGTGGAAAGAGAACCAAGGTTACTAGGTCTTGGCAGTTACTGCCTACATATGCGGCCCTGGCCAAGTCACACTCGCTTTTGGGCCTCAATTTCCCCACTTGTCAAAGTAATAATACTGAATATACTTTTTCAAACTAAACATGCCCTCCTCCTGAGGATCCCAGGAGATGATTCCTAAATCCCCTTCAATTCAGCAATAAAAGAACATGATTTCATGAAATTATCACAAAGCAGAACTCAAGCCACAAAGATCTGACTTGGGCCTAGTTTATCAGTACACTTACTTTACAAAATACTATTTCCTGTTCAAAACTGGTACAAGAGGAATATGCAAAAAAGGTGGAAGAGAGGTGATGGTTCACAGCACAGCTGCTCCAGTCAATGGCCCCAAGTGATCAGCTATGCAGTCCTCCTCTGCATTCCGGGAGTCCACAGTTGCCACTAGGGCGTTGCATTCTTCTACTGTACGGCCACAGCTGATATGCTGCAACAGACCTGAGTGCGTAACTAGTGGGGTCCTTTGTAGCCCACAGAGGACTGATTACAAAAGCAGGCCAGCCTTGGACCCACTGTCCATTCTTAGTGTAGGTTCAGCAGTGACAGGACATGGGGGACTATTCCTGAGATCCACTTTTCAGGATCTACAGTTGACTCCCCCGCAACCTAGGACGAAGGCAGGTAAGAAAAAGTAGAAAAAATTCTAACCCAGGGAACCAAAAGACATACTTAAAACAGCTCTCCCCATGTCCACCTCTTCATCAGATTGCTTGAGACTTACACTGTAACCTGCGACATATCAGATTTCTCTAATTATTAGATTACTACAAAACACACTGCCAAGACCAAAACATGTCAGAGAATCAGTTACTAGGCTGATCGTTTGCAGTAAGAACTGCTTCACACTTATCCAGGATGGAGCAAATCCTCCCTTCAGGTCTCTCCATCTAGGTCCCTGGATAACAGTTAACACACTTTGAGGGTTCCTTTGAGTAATTATTGGCCCAGTTACTAAAAAAGGCTTATTGTTAATTTCCTGCACAGAGGCCCTTACTGCAGCACTTTTTTCCCCCTGCAGCACATATTAAACTTTGACTTCAATTTGACCTTTCAAATCTAAGACATTAGCTGCAATGAAAGGGAAAATGACTAGTTAAGGAGTCAGAATCTTGGCTCAATGGCTTCATACAGCTGAGTGTTCCTGCTGCTATTCCCAAGATTTTCTGTTTCCTGGCTCCAAGACACCCCCACCCTTCCATCTTTGATTCTGTTTTACTTAAGGCCAATTGCTATGACGACGCAATTTCTCAACACATTATGAAAATACTTCATATGGCCTCTCTCCTGTTCTTCCTGAACAGCCATGATGGTAAGTTTTTCTAAAATAACATAAGGAAGACAGAACAAAGGGCTTAAATATTTTAGGATCTATTATACGAAAGATATCTGATTAGATGTTGGAACAGTTCAAGCATCATCTCAACCCAGCTTTCTGAGCTATTCAGGCTTTTCATTTAAAACATATTAAACTATTAACCTTAACAAGGCGCTTATTTAAAATATATTTTACTCAGTACATGAGACTTTTGAAAGCGATGTTCTTTGAGAAGCATCTAATCAAATTCTCAGGGACAGCTTTCAAACAAAAGACTGTTCTATCATTCAACACCGTTATGGTAGAATTTTTGACAGTTACCTCGACTCGAAAGACCCAGTCCCAGGAAACACACACACACACAAACAAGAACTCTAAGCTATTAAGTTATTTGATTTGAGCCTCATATCGTGCAAGCACCGCATCTACCTATTCTTTACAAGCGAATCACCACTGGGGAGAAAAAAATGTTTATTACAAGGAAAGAAAAGGAGACGGCCAGTCTCAGACCCTTCAGCGTTCAGAGAGACGGCCTAGATTCGCCATGCAGAATGAAATTAAGGTCAAGAGCCGTTTACACTGTGCTCCGGCTCCCCGGCTCTTCCTCTCTCCATTGCTGGCCGGCATTGCTAGTGCGATTCGGGAGAACGAGCTACAGAAGTCGCTCCCCGCCGAGGGAAGGGACCGGGGGCGGTGCAGCGAGCGTTCTGCGGGAAGGCGGGTGGCGAAGATCCCGACGAGGGAGCCCCCCACCCACCTGCCGCAGCCGGATGGGGCAGGGCAGGGCCGCAGCCAGGCTTGGGGGTGGCAGGGAGGGACCCGGCGGCCTCGCGCCCCCTCCCCCCGTCAGTGACATTCCAGCGGCTGCGCGGAGCCTCGGCCCCGCTGTTCCCTTGCAGCCCACGCGCCACAAAAGCCGCGGCGGCGGCTCCTCAGGCAGCACAGCGGCCCGTCAGTCTCACCTGTCCCCGACGCCGGCCCCGCCCCGCCTTAGGGGCTGCCCGGGTCCCGCCCGGCGTCGGCTGCCCCGGACCCTGCTCCCTCCCGAAGCTCCCTGGCTGCCCCTCTCACCGGCTCTCGGGGGGTGAAGGGCGTGGGTGCGTCGGGCCGAGGGGTGCTGAGGAACTAAGGAGCCTCCACGGCTTGAGCTCCGCACCGTTCCCTCCGCAGCGAGTAGTGGCGGCGGCGCGCGCGCCCCGCCTCTTTTATAAGCGGGAGCGCGCGCTCCCGCGGCGGGCGGGCGCGAGCGCCGGGGGAAGCGCCCGGGCGCTGCGCGAGGGGTTGGGGAACGCGCAGGCAGAGCGAAGGGGGCGGGGCTCTCGCCTGCTCGCCACCCGACCGCCCAGCGGAAAGGGCCGAACGATCCCGGAAGGAGCCGAAGCGGCGATGCAGGGGAAGAGGTGAGCAAGGGGCGGGCCGCGGGAGGATGGGGAAATAGGGCGCGCGCAAGGGGTGGTGGGGTGATGGTGCAGTGAGATCACTGCCTCCGCCCTGGCCGGCAGAGACGCTCCCACAGCACCTCCCTCCCCGCGGCTTTCGTCCCCCCCCATCCCCCAACCGCCCCCCCAGCGGGACAATCGTTTGCACCGCACCCCTCCGCCCTCGGAGCTCTTCCAGGACTGCAGAGAAGGGCGGGGCGGGAGCATCGCTGCAGTCTAGCTGGGGATGCTGCGCGCCCCGGCCGGAAAAACGCCCAGTCCCAAAGGGTGAGATCACCCGAGTGTGCGTCTCTTCTTCCTGCTCCCGAGGAGGAGTCTCGCGCTGGGGACCCAAGTCAGCCTACTTCGGTGGGGGCTGGGGTCAAGAAGATGCGGATGATCTGGGGCCCCGGGTTTGAGGAGGTGGTGAGAGGAAAAGGCCAAATCCGGATCAGAAGAAAATAAAAATAAAGTCGGCTAATTTAGGGCATAAAGCTGTCATTCTGGAATTTGGAGAGTTAATAATTTCTATGTTCTTGGAGATTATGGGGGAAGGAAACGGCAGCGGCAAAATAATAATTTCTTATATTCCTGCAGCAAAAGCTTTCACACAGGTCGCCAGCGGAATAGGGTACATTCATCCTATTTTCATCGACAATACATCAGGTTCTTTCTGCCACAGTTAATTTCCTTGTGTACTAGGCACTATGCTAAATATTTCGTGTTACCTTTTTATTTCTTAATCTTTGCAATAATTTTATGAGATGCTTTCCCATTTTACAAATAGGCACTCTTACTTAGTGCTCACATAGGCTAAGTCTCTTAGCCCAGGTCAGGCAGCTAGCCATTAGAAGAGCTAGGGTTTACATCTAAGCAGTCAGAACCTTCCCTTTGAAATCGTAGGTGTATTGCTTTCAAGTAGGAAAGCGAGGCGTTTTGATGCGGGTGGCTGCTGGGGTGCTGACAGAGAAAAATAAGATTCTCAGAATTTCTGATCCTTAAAGTCCTAGCAGTTTAAGGGCCTGGCTCTAAACTCTGTAGCCAGAAGCCCTGGATTAGGAAGCCCTTTCCCTTTCCCCATTCTGGTGACAGCTGGGCCGCAGTCACTGAGAGTAACACCCAGATCATTCCTCTGCAGTCAGGCAGACGGGGAGCTCTGCAGCTCAGGAAGGCTTCAGCCTCCTGGTTACCAAGCAGCCTTCCTCTTTAAATAAATATAAAGGCATCGGGCAGGCACTGAAGCAGAACCTCAGCCCAGACCTGGCCCTGAGCTTGCTGGTCCTCTGCAGTTTGGCTTCTTTCCCTGTGCCTGGGACCTGCAATATGGTTCCTAAACTGCCCTGGCTGTAGCCATGATACTGAGCAAAAATTTCACTACCCACTCACTCCACTGGAGTGGTGAGAAAAGGAGTGGCCACACCCCAGAAGCTGCTTTAAAGAATCTGTGTAGGAAAAACGTAGGAGCTGAGAGGCATTTTCTGCAATCTTCTATGTAGAGAAAACAGGGCTGGGCAACTCCTTCCTGGGGTGTGCATATCTGGGAACAGCTGATGGTATCTGTGGCCTCTTCTACAGCAGGTTGCAGTAAAATGTTTAATCAGATATTCAGCTCTGGGTACAAAATGGCTAACAGAATTGTAGCTCCCTAAAATTTCCAAGACTCTCTGTTCCAGCAAAGAATGCATCTCGGGGCTGAGGGGGCAGGAGCTATTAAAAAGGGAGGGTTTTTCTATTAAATCACCTTGGCCCCATAGTGAAATGGGGGATTTGCTGCTTTTGCTGGATGCAAAACAAATTGGAAACCTAAGAGAGAGCTCTGTATTGATAGAGAAACTAAAATCTTATGTTGATCCTTTGTCTGATCTGAGACATGGCCAAGAAACAGTAACCCCAGCCCTCTCTACCTCCCACTCACTCACCCTGCCTGCTCTGCACTTGGCACTTGAAATGAGCCATTTAAAAAGCCATTCTTCACTGTTCTGTTGTCTGCCTACCTCACCTCCCACCAATTTCACCATATGCTTAACACCCCAGTGGGTGTGGAAAGCTGGGGGGAAAAAACAACAAAAAAAGCACAGGACAGTGCAATGGCTTTGTAACCAATCAACTCCACGTTCTCGGTCACACCTCTCCTGGCCTCCTAAAAAGCAGAGGGTTGGACTGAATTCTCAACTCCTTTTTCTAGTTTCAGCAGTCCTCAGAAGGTTTGATACGTACCCAAAGCTTAAGCCTCTAGATAGTCCCAATACTTTTTAAGGTTGTTGAAAAGGTCAACTGTTGGGAAACACACTAATTGTAGTGATGTGTCCACATGTTCTGGCCAGGGAAAGTCACTTGCCCACTCTCGCTGGGAGAGAGCCCTTCCTCTACCCTCCCCTCCACACCCCATCCCACCGCCTGCAAAGATAACAGGCAAGGCCGGGCGTGGTGGCTCAAGCCTGTAATCCCAGCACTTTGGGAGGCCGAGGCAGGTGGATCACGAGGTCAAGAGATCGAGACCATCCTGGTCAACATTGTGAAACCCCATCTCTACTAAAAATACAAAAAATTAGCTGGGCATGGTGGCGTGTGCCTGTAATCCCAGCTACTCAGGAGGTTGAGGCAGGAGAATTGCCTAAACCCAGGAGGCGGAGGTTGTGGTGAGCTGAGATTGCGCCATTGCACTCCAGCCTGGGTAACAAGAGCGAAACTCCGACTCAAAAAAAATAAATAAATAACAGGCAAGCACTTCCACTATTTTTCCTCCCTAGAAGGGAACTGATTGGGAAGTCATGCTAACAAATGGACTGCACTTCCCATATGACATTCTGCAGTGTCAGAGCCGGCAAGAAATAACAGATCTTCAAAACAAAGTGTCTGGATGAATCTTGAAGGCATTATGCTAAGTGAAATAAGCCAGACACATAAGGATGAATATTGTATGATAATTCCACTTATGTGAGATCCCTAAAATTGTCAGATTCATAGAGACAGAAAAAACAGTTGTTACCAGAGGCTGAGGGGAGGGAGGAATGGGTTGTTATTGTTTAGTGGGTACAGTTTCCATCTGGGATGATGAAACAGAGTTCTGGAGAGGATGGTGGTGATGTTTGCACAACACTGTGATTGTACACTTAAAAATGGTTAGGTCAGGCATGGTGGCTCACTCCTGTAATTCCAGCACTTTGGGAGGCCGAGGCGGGCAGATCACCTGCAGTTGGGAGTTTGAGACCAGCCTGACCAACATGGTGAAACCCCATCTCTACTAAAAACACAAAATTAGCCGGGCGTGATGGCACATGCCAGTAATCCCAGCTACCCAGGAGACTGAGGCAGGAGGATGGCTTGAACCCGGAAGGCAGAGGTTGCGGTGAGCCGAGATCATGCCACTGCACTCCAGACTGGATGACAGAGCAAGACTCCGTTTCAAAAAAAAAAAGGTTAAACTTTTATGTTCTTTATATTTTACTACAATCAAAAAATAAAACAAAGATAAAGAAAAAAAAAAAGCATAACACAAGCCACTGCTTCTAAAATCAAGCACCATATTAGCGAAGCAGCCTGATAGGGTTTGGGAGTGTGGCCTTGCCAAGGTTTGCTTTAAGACACCAGGTAATAGCAAAGATGTAAACTCCCCCCTCCCCTCCCCTCATCTGACCACCTAATCTGGCTCCAGTCATTTCACATCTGTTCCCTTGCGGGGCTGCCTGCTAGACCTGGTCAGTCCATGTCCCTCCTGCTTACCTTGAACCCATTACTACAGTTAATTTCATAAACCACATCAAGCCTTCTCAAAAAGTTTCAGTATCTTCCCATAGTTTACAGACTAGGCCATACTTTGGAGCCTCCACAGTCTTGTTCCAATTTACCTTTTCACAGCATCATTCCCTACAGTTCTTCTCTATTGATCTGAGGTTGGCCTCTTCCAAAATATGTTATTTCTCCAACTCCATGCTTTTGCACACAACTTTCTCCTCCAATTAGAACTTCCTTTCCCAACACTCATACCTCTTTTCTGCCTGAAAATCTTACCAACTTTGAGTATATGTAAGTAGAATGTTTCTGTGGCTGGGCACCATGGCTCACGCCTGTAATCCCAAAACTTTGAGAGGCTGAGGTGCGTGGATTGCAAGGTCAGGAGTTTGAAACCAGCTTAACCAACATGGTAAAATCCCGTCTCTACTAAAACTACAAAAATTAGCCTGGTGTGGTGGTGGACGCCTGTAATCTCAGCTACTCAGGAGGCTGAGGCAGGAGAATCACTTGAACCCGGGAGGTGGAGGTTGCAGTGGGCCAAGATCATGCCATTGCACTCCAGCCTGGGTGACATTGTGAGACTCCATCTGGAGAAAAAAAAAAAAAAAAACCTTTCTGGAAGAGCAGTTTGACAATGTGGATCAAAATATAAAATTTGCATGCCATTTGACCCAGCATTGTTAGTCACATCTAGAAATCTACCTTAAGCAGGACAAGATGCATATTCATTCGGGACTGGTACGGTTGCTCACACCTGCAATCCTATCACTTTGGGGAGGCTGAGGCAGGCGGATCACTTGAGCCCAGGAGTTCAAGACCAGCCTGGGCACCATGGCAAAACCCTGTCTCTACAAAAAATACAAAAATTAGCAAGATGTGGTGGCATGTGCCTATAGTTCCAGCTACCAGGAGGCTGTGAGAGGATCATCGAAGCCCAAAAGGTTAAGTCTGCAGTGAGCCATGATTGCGACACTGCATTCCAGCCCAGGTGATTGAGACCCTGTCTCAAAAAAAAAAAAAAAAAAGGTTAATAATTATAAAAAAATAATTATCGACGCCAGGCGCGGTGGCTCAAGCCTGTAATCCCAGCACTTTGGGAGGCCGAGGCGGGTGATCACGAGGTCAAGAGATCGAGACCATCCTGGTCAACAAGGTGAAACCCCGTCTCTACTAAAAATACAAAAATTAACTGGGCATGGTGGTGCGTGCCTGTAGTCCCAGCTACTCAGGAGGCTGAGGCAGGAGAATTGCTTGAACCCAGGAGGCGGAGGTTGCAGTGAGCCGAGATCGTGCCATTGCACTCCAGTCTGGGTAACAACAGAGAAACTCCGTCTCAAAAAAAAAAAAAAATTATAAAAAATAACCTAGTCGGGCCGGGCGCGGTGGCTCAAGCCTGTAATCCCAGCACGTTGGGAGGCCGAGGCGGGTGGATCACGAGGTCAAGAGATCGAGACCATCCTGGTCAACATGGTGAAACCCTGTCTCTACTAAAAATACAAAAAATTAGCTGGGCACGGTGGCGCATGCCTGTAATCCCAGCTACTCAGGAGGCTGAGGCAGGAGAATTGCATGAACCCAGGAGGTGGAGGTTGCGGTGAGCCGAGATTGCGTCATTGCACTCCAGCCTGGGTAACAAGAGTGAAACTCCGTCTCAATAAAATAAAATAAAATAAAAAATAACCTAGTCACCAAGTGAAAAATGGTTACTTACAATTCATAAATTTAAGACTATATTCATAATACATATTGATGTGAGAAAATATTTGAGTTATTACTGAATTTTAGGTTACATGAATGGTACCTCAGTCCACTTAAGAATTATATTCATGTATATGTATATATTACAGAGATGACTGAAAGGATTCACAATGAGTACCCAGGATAAAAGGATTTTGGGACACTTTTACCTTTTTTCTTTAACCTTTTTTTTTTAGGTGGACTATCACTCTGCTGCCCGGGTTGGAGTGCAATGGCACGATCTCTGCTCACTGCAACCTCCACCTCCCGGGTTCAAGTGATTCTCCTGCCTCAGCTTCCTGAGTAGCTGAGATTATAGGCATGGGCCACTACACCTGGCAAATTTTTGTATTTTTAGTAGAGACAGGGTTTTACCATGTTGCCCAAGCTGGTCTTGAACCCCTGATCTCAGGTGATCTGTCTGTCTAAGCCTCCCAAAGTGTTGGGATTACAAGTGTGAGCCACTACACCTGGCACTTTTTAGTTTTTGAATAGTTTCAAGTATGTGGATCAAATAATATCTTGAAGATACTTTCCTGATTAGTGTAATCACCAAATAAGTAATTTCAAAAGGTAGACTCCCAAAAATCCAAGAGAAGCTCTGGAGTTCCATGGTCAGTTAGGTAAACACTGCAAACTCTTCAAAGTTAAAAATTCTGCCAGCCGCAGTGACTCATGCCTGTAATCTCAGCACTTTGGGAGGCTGAGGCAGGTGGATCACAAGGTCAGGAGTTCAAGACCAGCCTGGCCAACATGGTGAAAACCTGTTTCTACTAAAAAAATACAAAAATTACCTGGGCATGGTGGTACGCCCCTGTAATCTGTTACTCAGGAGGCTGAGGCAGGAGAATTGCTTGAATCTGGGAGGTGGAGGTTGCAGTGAGTCAAGTTAGCACCACTGCATTCCAGCCTGGGCAACAGAGCAAGACTCCATCTCAAAAAAAAAAGAAAATTAAAAATTCAGAGTAGCATAGGTAAGGCACCAAAAAGTTTTCCCTCCAAAAAGTCCCCTCAATGTTTTATTATGGGAGATTTCAAAGATCATTAGAAAGCTAAACAAAGATAAACAGAATAGTACAATGAATGTACTTGCTAATTTTATGTGCCAATTTGACTGGGCTAAGTGTTGCCCAGATGAAATATTCTTTCTGGGTATAGTCTATGTTTCTACATGAGCTGAGCATTTGAATTTGTGGATTCAGTAAATTGTCCTCCCTAATCTGGGTGGGCATCATTGATTTGTGGAAGCCTGAATAGAACAAAAAGGTAGAAGGAGGAGCAATTTGCCCCTTTTGTTTCCTGCCAGCCTGTTTGAGCTGAGGCACTGGTCTTCTTCCCTTAGATTAGATTTATACTATCAACTGACTGGTTCTCAGGCTTTTGGACTTAGATTAGAATTTCAACCCCAGCTTTCCTGGGCTTCCAGCTTGCAGATGGCAGATTGTGGGACTTCTCCATCTCCATAATCTCATGAATAAATTCTTCCTAATTAAATCTCATCATATCCCTGTGGATCTATCCATCCATCAATCTCCTATTGGTCTGTTTCTCTGGGGATCCAAATACAGTGAACCTCCATATGCCTTTCACCCAGCTGCAACATTCTGCCATTCTTGCTTTTTTTAAATTTTTAATAGAGATGAGGTTTCTCCATGTTTGCCAGGCCAGTCTCGAACTCCTGACCTCAGGTGATCCGCCCACCTCGGCCTCCCAAAGTGCTGGGATTACAGGTGTGGGCCACCACACCCGGCCCATTCTTGTTTTTTTGAGACGGAGTCTTGCTCTTGACACCCAGGTTGGAGTACAACGTTGCTATCTCGATTCACTACAACCTCCACCTCCTGGGTTCGAACAATTCTCCTACCTTAGCTTCCCTAGTAGCTGGGATTACAAGTGTCTGCCACCATGCCCAGCTAATTTTTTTGTATTTTTAGAAGAGACAGGGTTTCACCATGTTGGCCAGGCTGGTCTCAAACAAACTCCTGACCTCAGGTGATCTGCCCGCCATGGCCTCTCAAAGTGCTAGGATTACAGGCGTGAGCCACTGTGCCCAGCCCCATTCTGCTATTCTTATTTAATCGATTACATACCTACTTCACCTTTAACATAGTATTTCCCAAACTTATTTGACTGCTAACTCCTTTTTTGGAACTCTGCAGAAAGCACTCTGGTATTTAAACCATCAGCTGACGGGTTCTCAGGCCTTTGGACTTAGACTAGAGACAAATCTATCCTCTATGCTCTTCTAACTTTTACCTCAACCCATCAAGTGCTCCAAGTGCTTAAATCACATTCTCTATTAAATTAAAATTTTACCTTCAAGTCACCTATCTTGAAAACATGTTTAGAGTCAACATTCCATCCTTCAAAGTAACCTTAGTCACCAGGGTCCTGTTTTCAGGGTTGTAGGTTTCAGAGCTTGATTTTGTTACCTCATCAGAATTGTAGGCATGTTTTTTTGTAGGGCTAAAAGAGAGCATCTTTTAATTTTGAAATAGCTTCCAATTTATAGAAAAGTTACAAGAATACTGGGAAGAAATCCCATATACCCTTCACCCATATTCCCTCATTTGTTAACCTTTGACCACATTTGCTTCATTATTTGATGTGTGTGTATATCTATCGATCTCTATATATATATATATAGATACACACACAGAGATGTATACATATACATATACATACACTCGTGTATACACATATATATTCCTTCCCCCCCACCCAATCATTTGAAAATAAGTTCCAGGCTGGGTGCAGTGGCTCACTCCTGTAATCTCAGCACTCTGGGAGGCTGAGGTGGATGGATCACCTGAGGTCGGGAGTTTGAGACCAACCTGGCAAACATGGTGGAACCCCGACTCTACTAAAAATACAAAAATTAGCTTGGCGCGGTGGCGTGTGCCTGTAATCCCAACTACTTGGGAGGCTGAGGCAGAAGAATCGCTTGAACCCAGGAGGCGGAGATTGCAGTGAGCCGAGATCACACTACTGCACTCCGGCTTGGGTGACAAGGCTAGAATCTGTCTCAAAAAAAAAAGCAAAAGAAAATAAGTTGCAAACATCATGCCCACTTACCTCAATGTGTATTTTCCAAGAACAAGAACATTCATTTTCGTAACCACAGTACAATGATCAAAGAGGTTCATGTTGACACACTATTATTACCTAATATATAGGCCTTATTCAAGTTTTGCTAAGTGTTCAAATGTCCTTTATAGCAAAATGCACACACACAGAAACATCTTTATTTTTGGTGCAGGTTGCAATCTAGGATCACATGCTGTACTTAGTATAAATATCCTGAAAGAGCTAAAAAAAAAATTCTTAAAATACATCGATCTGGAAAAATGGGTATTTTTAAAAATGGAGGCTGGCTTTAAACAAAAACATAAATTCCTTTATAATGGGTGTTCTTCTAAATGCATGGCATAGACAGGAGACTATAGTTCTAATCTACTTTTTTCTCCCCTACAGACAGGGTCTCACTCTGTTGCCCAAGCTACAATGATGGCTCATTGCAGCCTTAACCTCCTGGGCTCAAGCAATCCTCCTTCCTCAGCCTCTCAATTGGCTGGGACTACAGGCATGTGCCACTGTATTCAAATTTTTTTTTTCCTTTAAGAGATGGGGTTTCACTATGTTGCCCAGGCAAATTTCAAACTCATGGACTCGAGTAATCATCCTGCCTTGGCCTTCCAAGTCTCTGGAATTGCAGATGTGAGCCACTGCACCCAGCCTAATCTACTTTCTGTAGGTCCACAGGAAATCCAATGTCAGCAATTCATTAGGCAGGATGGAGAAAAGTGAAGGGGATTACCAGGTGTGATATAAGTCTCTTGTAAGAAGCTCTGTGGCTCTTAACAGAGCTTTTGGTTTTCCTGACACTGAGATAGAAGATGTCCAAGCCTACTTATGTCACTGCTATCATCACAGAAAGCTTGAGAAGTAGGGGAAAGCTCCTAGCATGTAGGTGGGAAATCCTCAGAAATCCATTCTATATAAGGGATGTGTAGAGTTTGTCCTATTGGAATTTTTAATTTGTCATCAAACTTGCTTTAATATAGGAAAATAATGTGACAAAAACATGGATCCTCAGCCTGATAAATGAAGTCAAGTCTGAAAGCAAGAAAGGAGACAAGTAAGTACTTGAATTAAAATAGGCAGTCCTTAGTATTCTACTGTAAGGAATCTGATGCTACTCCCCATCAGGAGCTGCATCTCTTATCTAGTAATCATTATCTCTATCCGTGAGTATAGAAAACCTGGCCTCCCAGTGCTCTCCTTTCTTGGTTTACCATTGAAATCCATTAGGAATGCAAGGACATATGCAAGACCCCTAACCACTAGAGAAAGAATATTCATACATCGTTAGAGGCATTTAATAGTTTCTTTTAAAATTTTTTATTTTAAAATTCTAATATTTATCATAGAGATGGGGTTTCAGTTGCCCAGGCTGGTCTTGAACTCTTGAGCTCAAGCAATCCTCCCACCTCAGCCTCCCAAAGTGCTAGGATTACAGGCGTGAGCCATCATGCCTAGCTGTAAGAGGTATTTTCTATGAAGTCATACAAATTCAAAGTGGAAGAGAACTTTAGATCATCTTGTCCAGCAATTTTTCATTTTGTTTTTGACAAACTTTTCTGTACATCATCTTACATGGAACTACAATATATCCTATAAAACATAAAGCAAAAAGGGTGTGGCAAGAGAGGATCCCAGAGCTCAATTAGAGCCTGTAAATGGTTGTGCAAAAAATGAGCTGCACAACTCTGGTAGGTACCATCCCTCTCCATCATTTTATTTTTTAAAGCTTTCCAGTGAAGATCGGAAAACCTGCTAGACAAATTCTAAAAGAGCTATAACACTCATAGATTTGTACAGTTATTAACAGGGCAGTTGTCCAACAGAGGGTGGTAGTATCTTGAAGGAAAGGGATGCCTGTTTGAAATTTGCACAAAGCCCGTCTGTATGTTGACTGGCTACAGGGCTGAGCCCCATTCACTCAACATCCCCCTGTCCTGAAGTCATTGCTTCCCAACCTATTCTGTCACAATATCTAGAAAATAATGCTTTTTTTTTCCAGACAGTCTTGCTCTGTTGCCCAGGCTGGAGTGCAGTTGCATGATCTCAGCGCACTACAACCTCTGTCTCCCAGGTTCAAGTAATTCTCCTGCCTCAGACTCCCAAGTAGCTGGGATTACAGGTGTACACCACCACACCTGGCTAATTTTTTGCATCTTTAGTATAGATGGGGTTTCACCATTGGCCAGGCAGGTCTTGAACTCCTAACCTCATGATCCGCCTTCCTCGGCCTCCCAAAGTGCTAGGATTACAGGTGTGAGCCATCACACCAGGCCAAATGATGCCATTTTTAAGGCAAAGTTAAGGAGAGAAAATGTGAATGGAACCAGTCCTGGGGGCTCACTCACCACAGGCCCTGTCTGGGAGTGCTAATAAAGTCAGCATACCAAGGCACACCAGCTGGGAAGCTCTTCCCTAAGTAATTGCTACCAAGCATAGCAATTCCTTTCGGGACACCATGCTTGAAAAATTGGGCCGGTTGCGGTGGCTGACGCCTGTAATCCCAGCACTTTGGGAGGCCGAGGCGCATGGATCACGAGGTCAAGAGATTGAGACCATCCTGGTTAACATGGTGAAACCCCATCTCTACTAAAAATATAACAACAAAAAAAAAATTAGCTGGGCATGGTGGTGCGTGCCTGTAATCCCAGCTACTCAGGAGGCTGAGGCAGGAGAACTGCCTGAACCCAGGAGGTGGAGGTTGTGGTGAGCTGAGATCGCGCCATTGCACTCCAGCCTGGGTAACAAGAGTGAAACTCTGTCTCAAAAAAAAAAAAATTTTTTTTTTTAACTGGGGAGGGATAACATGGGGAGAAATGCCAGATATAGGTGATGGGGGGATGGAGGCAGCAAACCACATTGCCATGTATGTACCTATGCAACAATCCCGCATGTTCTGCACATGTACCCCAGAACCTAAAGTGCAATTAAAAATATATATATTTAATTCAATATATATAAATTATATATATAATTTAAATATATATTCATTTAATTTAATATATATATATAAATTAAAACTCCCTAAAGAGATGTAAAGCCTAAAAAAAATTTTTTTTCGACATGGGGGCGTCTCACTATGTTCCCCAGGCTGGTCTTGAACTCCTAGACTTATATTATTCTCCCACCTCAGCCTCCTAAAGTGTTGGACTGCAGATATGAGCCACTAAGCCTGGCCCATTGTGTCTTTTGAAAGATTTTAATATTTTTCACATCTCTTGCTAGACAAAATACTTTTCACATCTCTTGCTAGGGTCACCTATTGGTACATAATTCCAAAAAAGGAAACAACAAAAAAAGAAGTAATATTCCCAAGGTATAGGTCAAGTAGACAAAAAGGAATAAATGCATACCACTCTACACCAGGACTTGTATACTACCATGTCCCTAATGACTTACATAGCTCAACGTAGAGGAAATTGATCATATTGAACCAATATATCAACAATGGGTTTTTTAAAAAATCAAGTTTTATTATTAATTTTTTTGGCACCATAATTAACAATTCATAGAACGGGTCACTTCAGGCCACTAAAGAGTACCAGTGAACACTCCCCCAAAAACACACCCCTCCCACAAGACATTTAGCATAGAGGAACAGATCCATGGCCACTGCAAAGAGAATTAGTCTTTTCACAAAACAAATCTCAACTCTTACCTGTACGGCCAATCTCTGAATTTCTGTAGTGGCTTTTTTATCATTTTTATTTAGGCATATTTATCATCATTCATTACTTAAAACATAAAAAAATTATAAAGCAGTGTTCAATTCCTGCACAACACCTTTATTTAATCACAATTCAATGTTATGGATGCTCAGCTAGTGTTGCAAGCCCCGTCTTAGCCCATCTTAATTCAAACTGAAAAGAAACAAAACAAAATAAAACCAAAAAAGGCACCTGCCTGGTTCATGCATCCCTAGTCACCCAGGGACCAAATTCCAAATCAGGATGACAAAGAGTGCCCCTTAGTTCAATATTACATGTGTTTCCAGTCCTAACCCCAGAAACTAACCTATCCATAGTGCCATCTGGACCTTAGTCCATGTGTGTATCACATATTTCCTCTGGCTTTAGAATGATTTCACAAGCTGAGAAAGGCAAAACAACCGTAACCCAGACTTGCATGTAAGCATCTGGCCTCAACTATCAAATAATACTTAAAAGGGAACCTTATGAGCCTTAGTTCTTTCTGGAAATTCATCTGAACAGGGATGAGGGTAGGTAGGTGGGTGCAAATGGTGGGCTCCCTCCAGATCAGAGTGCATTTGTTAAGGTATTGCCAACTTTCTCAAAGATACTAGAGACAAAGGACAGAAGGGAAGAGACCAAGTGCTAAACACCTTTTATCACTTTTGCAAAAAACAAGAAAGGCCAATTCCATTTGTTTTATCGTGTAGATTTTTTTTTTTTTTGAGACAGAGTCTTGTTCTGTCACCCAGGCTGGAGTGCACTGGTGCGATCTCGGATCACTGCAACCTCTGCCTCCCAGGTTCAAGCAATTCTCCTGCCTCAGCCTCCCAAGTAGCTGGGATTACAGGCATGTGCCACCATGACCAGCTGATTTTTCTGTATTTTTTTATTAGACACCGGGTTTCACCATATTGACCAGGCTGATCTCAAACTCCTGACCTTGTTATCTGCCTGCCGTGGCCTTCCAAAGTGCTGGGATTACAGGTGTGAGCCACTGCGCCTGGACATCATGTGGATCTCTTAAGGAACTACCAAATCTACTAAGGGACCTCCAAGAATTTTGTGACCCATGAAAATCACAAGGTATAAATATATAAAAATACATATTGGCAAATTTCTGTATCTGACATGACTTCTCCCAAATACAGCTGTCTTTAATTCCTTTATTATTGCCTCTTTGCAACATAACGGTGATGGTAGGTGATGAAGTGACATCAGGAGCGCCAGAACGAAGAAGTCAGAAAGCCCTTGGGGACAGGAATGTCCTTGTGTTGCAAACATTTCTGGTCAGGGAAAGATGAAGAAAACAGAGTGAGTTTCTGGTAACAGTGCTCCCAACACAATGATTAAAAGAAGCTTTGAGGGACACCATATTTCAGCCCTATGAACAGTGAACAAAAACGAAAAAGCCAGTGAGACCAATGGTTCTATATAAGATGTCCACTTCAAGCTGGGCATGGTAGCTCACGCCTGTAATCCCAGCACTTTGGGAGGCCAAGGTGAGTGGATCACCTCAGGTCAGGAGTTCCAGACCAGCCTGGCCAACACAGTGAAACCCCATCTCTACTAAAAATATGACAAATTAGCCAAATGTGGTGGTGTATGCCTGTAATCCTAGCTACTTGGGAGGCTGAGGTAGGAGAATCGCGTGAACCCAGCAGACAGAGGTTGCAGTGAACCAAGATCACATCATTGCACTCCAGTCTGGGTGACAGTGCGAGACTCAATCTCAAAAAAAAAAAACAAAAAAAAACAGATGTCCACTTCTGCATGAACTGCCGTAGACAACAAATGAAATGCTCTTATTATGCTTCGCCCACCCTTGTCTCCATACAGCCTAAACTCATCTTTCAGCTTTGAGAAGCTGAAAAGTCAGTGGGCTATCTTGGCAAACCCATTAGGGCATTCTAAATTCTTTGTCAAAATTAACCTCTTACAATTTCTTGGCACTTGGAAGTAGGGGAAGAGTCCAACTGAAAGTGCAGTTTGTTCTCATGGAGAAAGTGATGACACTTACCAATTCCTCAGGTCTGAGACTAAGAAAAGAACCCTGGCCAGCTGGGCACAGTAGCTGACCTCTATAATCCCAGCACTTTGGGAGGCCGAGGCAGGCAGATCACTAGGTCAGGAGTTCGAGACCAGCCTGACCAACATGGTGAAACCCCATCTCTACTAAAAATACAAAAATTAGCCAGGCATGGTGGTGCATGCCTGTAATCCCAGCTACTCAGGAGGCTGAGGCAGGAGAATCTCTTGAACCTGGGAGATGGAGGTTGCAGTGAGTCAAGATCGCGCCATTGCACTCCAGCCAGTCTGCATGACAGAGTAAGACTCTGTCTCAAAAACACAAAACAACAACAACAACAACCAAAAAGAACGCTGGCAACATGCAAAAAATATATTAATGAGAGGAGATACATTAAATATATTTTATTCATCTTGGCATAGCTTTCTTACAGGCAGTATGCAGAATGATACATATAAAGAGGTAATGGCAACCCTTACTCCAAAGGTTAAGAGAGAATTAGGAACAAAAAGAAGTGTTTGGAAAAACTAAGGAAGAGTGCAATCAGAAAATCTGAAGGTCCAAGACTTGTCAGACACAGGTGCATTCCAGCCCAACAACAGTGTGGGACATGTTGGTCTAAAAGCATCTTACCTCTAAGAACTGCTTGAGGCGTATGAAGGAACCCATCTGTCCTGAGCTTGTGATAGCTTCAATTCTACAGGGAGAGAAAGAAGACACACGGATCACAGCTATGGTATACACCTGTCTTTTGGAGACAGTGTCTCACTGTGTCACATAGGCTAGAGTGCAGTGGTGTGATCATAGCTCATTGAGGCCTTGAACTCCCAGTCTCAAGCGATCCTCCTGTCTCAGCTTCCCTAGTAGCTGGGACTATAGGTACATGCCATCATGCCTGGCTAATTTTTTTTTTGTAGAGATGGGGTCTTGCTATATTGCCTAGGCTGGCTTTGGACACTTGGGCTCAAGTGATCCTCCTGCTGTGGCCCCTCAAAGAGCTGTAATTATAGGCATAAGCCACTATGCCCAGCCCTTAATTTGTGTTTTTGTTTAGACAATGATATTTAAAACAGACTCTCATTCAGGTTCAGAGGCATTTATTCAAATATCAACGAGAAGGACTGGTAGGAAGATGTCATTCTTAGTACAGGTGTTTTCAACTTCAATCAAAACCAGCAGGTAATAGCACCCTTTGGTATCTGAGGCTGGTTATGAGTTTTACTTACTTAATCCCCTGTTGTCTGACTAACAAGCCTGATACCTGGGAAAGTAGTCCTCTTTGAGGAGAATTAGCATCTTCCAGAACTGAACCTGGTACTGCTTCATGAGGGCATTCCCACACACCTAGAGGGAAAGACAAGCACTGTCAGAGCAGAGAATGAAAAATTCACACTCACAGGACAGATTCATAAAGCACAATCAGCCCTTCATCTTTCACACCTATCAAAACTTTCAGCCACAATGCCACTAAACTTGCTATTAAGGGAATAAATGGAAATACCCAACTTTCTTCTAAAGCATTTCTCTTTATGCAGCAATACCTTCATTTAGCCAGACAGTCAGGTCTTAATGAACTAATCTTCTTTTTCTCTACTGAATGGAAGCCTTCCTAAAGGGATGGTATACCTCTCAAACTTAGTAAGCACAGTATACAGAATACCACTTGTGTTCTCAAATGATACAGGATCATTGTTCATGTATGGTGACTCCAGGAGCTTTTTATTATTATTTTTTAATAGGGTCTTATTCTGTCGCCCAGGCTGGAGTATACTGGTGTGATCACAGTTCACTGCAGCCTCAACCTCCCCAGGCTCAGGTGATCCTCCAACCTCAGCCTCCCTAGTAGCTGGGACCACAGGCACACATCACCATACCCAGCTAATTTTTGTATTTTTTTGTAGACATAGGGTTTTTACCATGTTGCCCAGGCTGGTCTTGAACTCCAGGGCTCAAGTGATCTGCCTGCCTTGGCCTCCCAAAGACTGGGATTACAGGTGTCAGCCACTGCACCTGGTGACTTCAGGAGCTATTAAGGTAACTAATAGCTTAATAAGGAACTACAGCATTATAGGTCAAATGGTTCCAGATTTGTTATGGCAGGTACCCCAACCTTTCTTCTATAAAAACTATCTTCTTGGATGAGTACAATAGCTCACTCCTGTAATCTCAACACTTCGGCAGGCTAAGGTGGGAGGATCACTTGAGCCCAAGAGTTTGAGGCTATAGTGACCTATGAACATTGCACTCCAGCCTGGGTGACAGAATAATATCCTGTTTCAAAAAAAAAAAAAACCTCACAAAGTGTCACCTTTCCATAGAAACTCTTGCCCTCACCCTATAATAGTGGTCCCTTATAGGCGGATAGAAGTGTTTATAGAGCCGTCTGGAGGTGGTGGCTCACACCTGTAATCCCAGCACTTTGGGAAGCTGAGGCAGGCGGATCACAAGGTCAAGAGATTGAGACCATTCTGGCCAACATGGTGAATCCCTGTCTCTACTAAAAATACAAAAATTAGTCAGGTGTGGTGGCACTCGCCTGTGGTCCCAGCTACTTGAGAGGCTGAGGCAGAAGAATCACTTCAACCCAGGAGGCTGAGGTTGCAGTGAGCTGAGATTGCGCCACTGCTCTCCAGCCTGGTGACAGAACAAGACTCTGTCTCAAAAAAAAAAAAAAGAGAACTGTTTATAGAGCCTTCTACGTTGGTCAGATACCCGACCCCCAGGCTGGCTAATCATATTTTCTCTCCTAGGAATTAGGAATCGGAACAGTGAAATGCCAGTCCCACCACACTGAGTGACCACACTGAGGCTGAGTGACATAGCCTAGAATAGCCACTTTCTTCACTGTACACAGAGAAACAGGGCAAATTGGCCTACAGACCAGGAATGAGGCAACCTGCAGGAAGGTTAAGAGCATATGGCTCCAAGGAGAAACTGTCTTGGTGCCTGGTGACATTTCAGTTCTTGGTTCTAGGCCCTACTGAGATGCACCTGCACATCCTATTCTTGTTTCTGGGAGTCTTTTTTTTTTTTTTTTTTTTTTTGAGATGGAGTCTTGCTCTGTCTCCCAGCCAGACTGGAGTGCAATAGCACGATCACAGCTCACTGCAATCTCCATCTCCCAAGTTCAAACTGTTCTCCTGTCTTAGCCTCTGGAGTAGCGGGGATTACAGGCATATTCCACAACACGTGGCTAATTTCTTTTGTATTTTTAGTAGAGAGACAGGGTTTCACCATGCTGGCCAGGCTGGGCTCGAACTCCTGACCTCATGTAATCTGCTCACCTTGGCCTCCCAAAGTGCTGGGATTACAGGTGTGAGTCACCGTGCCCAGCCTGGGAGTCACTTCTTTTTTTTTGAGACCGAGTCTTGGTCTAACACCAGGCTGGAGAGTGCAGTGGCATGATCTTGGCTCACTGCGACCTCCGCTTCCTGGGTTCAAACAATTCTCCTGCCTCAGCCTCCCGAGTAGCTGGGACTACAGGCGCATGCCACCACACCCAGCTAATTTTTGTATCTTTAGTAGAGACGGGGTTTCACCATGTTGGCCAGGATGGGCTCAATCTCTTATCCTTGTGATCCGCCCGCCTCGGCCTCCCAAAGTGCTGGGATTACAAGCTTGAGCCACCGTGCCCGGCCGGGAGTCACTTCTATATCCCTAAAATAAATTCCTCTTTTTACTTTTGCTAGAATGTACAATTTTCTGTTCTTTATAATGAAAAAACCTGGAGAAGCCAAGTAAATATAGTGTGGTGTAAATGAAAGCAAGGTTGGTCTATGTCTTGGGAAGAAATGTATGACACTGGAACCTCATGCTGTTTACTATCAGGCCCAATTGCTATGCTGTTTCCCCAATCATGTCACCCAGTTGATCAAGGCTACCTCAACCACTGGCTTTCTCCTGTGTGATAACTGATTACATACCTCCAGGAAGTCAAAGAGGAGGGTGGCTGTCACATCTGACAAGGGTTCCATGTTTAAGATCTGTGCCAACCAGCGCCATCCATGATTTAAGCCATGAGGGTGAATCTGGGAGGAGACAAGCTTGGTTATCATTGATCTCATTTTGTTTAGAAATCTAAACTCCCAATGTATCATCTAGCCATCACTAAGTGGACATGAACCCCAATCATCTAGCTCTAGCACCAGCTGCAGGGCAGAAATAACACAAACTAAACAAATTCTTTTTCTGTTTTATTTTTTTGAGACACGGTCTCACTTTGTCATCCAGGTTGGAGTGCAGTGGTACAATCACAGATCACTGCAGATGTGACCTCTTGGGCTCAAGTGATTCTCCCACCTCACCATCAGTCTCCCAAGTAGCTGGGACTATGCTTATGCACCACCATGCTCAGCTAATTTTTTTGTATCTGATGTAGAGACATGGTTTCACCTTGTTGCCCAGGCTGGACTCAAAATCCTGGAGTAAAGTGATCTACCTGCTTTGGATTCCCAAAGTGCTGGGATCACAGGTATGAAGGCACCTAGCCAGCCTTCTGTTTTTAAATGTTTCAAAAATTGGTTCCCATACATTCTCTTTTTTTTTGTCTGAGATGGAGTCTTTCTCTGTTGCCAGACTGGAGTACAGTGGTGCGATCTCAGCTCACTGCAACTTCTGCCTCCCAGGTTCAAGTGATTCTCCTGCCTCAGCCTCCCAGTAGCTGGGAGTATAGGCATGCACCACCACACCCAACTAATTTTGTATTTTTAGTAGAGACAGGGTTTCGCCATGTTGGCCAGAATGGTCTCAATCTCCTGACTTCGTGATCTGCTTGCCTTGGCCTCCCAAAGTGGTGGGACTACAGGCGTGAGCCACTGTGCCCAGCTTATTTACTTATTTATTTATTTAGCCAGAGTCTCACTCTGTCGCAGGCTGAAGTGCAGTGGCATAATCTTGGCTCACTGCAACCTCTGCCTCCCGGGTTCAAGGGAATCTCCTGCCTCAGCCTCCCAAGTAGCTGGGACTACAGGTGTACACCACCATGCCCAGCTAATTTTTGTATTTTCAGTAGAGACAGGGTTTCACCACGTTGGCCAGGATGGCCTCGGTTCCCAAAGTGCTGGGATTACAGGTGTGAGCCACCGCGCCCAGCCCCACACATTCTTTATAGGATCCCTTCAATATGCATGTGTAGCTTCAACTTCAGGCATTCCATGGGTCAACAATGAGACTTACTGACATTTTATTTATTCTTGGTATCTTTAGCACAGAACCTGGGATATAGCAGGCATACAATAAAATCTTGGATTTAATCAACTTCTATTTTTCTCTTTAGGTGTCCATGACCATTAACTTCTCTGTCCCTCTAATCTGTATTCCCTGAGAAATTAACTGAGCTGGCAAGTCAAAGCCCTGAACCCTAGCTGCAGCTTTCTGAGCTTGATCTGTCCATCTGTGAAGTAAGATATGATCTAGATGGCTTCTAAGGCCTCAATTAGTTTTACAATTCCTTGCTCATTTCTCTTACAAGAAAATCTTCTAACCTTAATGACTGACTTAGACTCTCCTCTGATAGACTCTGTTACAAAACTAGCTCTTTTTTTTTTTGACGAAGTCTCACCCAGGTTGGAGCACAGTTGTGCAATCTCAGCTCACTGCAACCTCTGCTTCCCTGGTTCAAGTGACTCTCCTGCCTCAACCTTCCGAGTAGCTGGGACTACAGGCACCTACCACCATGCCTGGCTAATTTTTTTATATTTTTAGTAGAGATGGGGTTTTACCGTGTTAGCCAGGATGGAACAAAACCAGCTCTTTAAAGTACCAGGTGATCCAAGAAAGTTCCCTAATAATCAACATTCACTCCTCTACGGAATACCCATGAAATTGCCATACAGTTTATCCTTTAACTAGACTAGCTTTCTGAAAGAAGGTCAATATTTCCCGTGGGAGGAATACACATGGAATGTGGTGTAACCTCTCATTATTGATAGTAAGTTTTTCACTAACCTCCTGTAGGTTTCCATATGGCCACCGGAGCTGGATGATGGCAGCATAGAGACGGATCATCCCTGACATGCGTTTTAGAAAGTTGTCTTGCTGCTCCACTTTGGAATCCGTTACTTGGTAGCCAAGCATCCTATTTGGGAAGAAAAAGTTTGGTCCGATGTGGTGGCTCACACCTGTAATCCTAGCACTTGGGGAGTCTGAGGTGGGTGGATCACTTGAGGCCGGGAGTTCAAGACTAGCCTGGCCAACATGGTGAAACACCATCTCTACTAAAAATACAAAACTTAGCTGGGTATGGCGATGCACGCCTGTTGTCCCAGCTAATTGGAAAGCTGAGGTATGAGAATTGCTTGAACCTGGGAGGTAGAGGTTGCAGTGAGTCGAGATTGCACCACTGCACTCCAGCCTAGGTGACAGAGTGAGATTCTGTCTCAAAAAAAGAAAAAGAAAAGAAAAAATTCACTGGGACAAGGCCAAAATAAGAATGACAAATGAGAGAGAAACTTTTTTTTTTTTTTTTTAAACAGAGTCTCTGTCACCCAGGATGGAGTACAGTGGTATGATTAAGGCTCACTGCAAAATTCACTGCCCAGGTTCAAGTGACCCTCCCGCCTCAGCCTCCCAAGTAGCTAGGACCACAAGCATATGTCACCACAGCTGGCTTTTTTTTTTTTTTTTTTTTTGAGATGGAGTTTTGCTCTTGTTGCCCAGGCTGAAGAGCAATGGCACAATCTCTGCTCACTGCAACCTCTGCCTCCCAGGTTCAGGCGATTCTCCTGCCTCAGCCTCCTGAGTAGCTGGGATTACAGCACCTGCCACCACCACACCTGGCTAATTTTTGAATTTTTAGTAAAGACAGGGTTTCACCATGTTGACCAGGCTAGTCTCAAACACCTGACCTCTGACCTCAGGTGATCTGCCTGCCTCAGCCTCCCAAAGTGCTGGGATTACAGGCATTAGCCACTGTACTTGGTCAACACCTGGCTAATTTTTCTTCTTTTTTTTCTTTTTTTTTGGAGACAGAGTCTTGCTCTGTTGCCCAGGTTAGAATGCAGTGGTGCAATCTTGGCTCACTGCAACCTCTGCCTCCTGGGTTCAAGTGATTCTCCTGTCTCCTACCTCAGCCTCCTAAGTAGCTGGGACTACAGGTCACATGCCACCATGTCCAGCTAATTTTTTTTTTCCTTTGAGACGAAATCTTGCTCTTGTTGCCCAGGCTGGAGTGCAATGGTGTGATCAGGAAAATCACTTGTACCCGGGGCGGAAGTTGCAGCCTCCCAAGTAGCTGTGATTACAGGCATCTGCCACCATGCCCAGCTAATTTTTTGTATTTTTACTAGTTGGGGTTTCACCATTTTGGCCAAGCTGGTCTCAAACTCCTGGCCTCAGGTGATCCACCCACCTCAGCCTTCCAAAATGCTGGGATTACAGGAGTGAGGCATCATGCCCAGCTAACACCTGGCTAATTAAAAACAATTTTTTTTTGTAGAGACAGGGTCTCATTATGTTACCCAGGCTGGTCTGGAAATCCTGGGCTCAAGCGATCCTTCTGCTTCAGCCTCCCAAATTGTTTAAAAAAAAAAATTATAGGCATGAGGCACTGCAGCTGGCCCAGAGAATACTTTTTTTTTTTTTGAGACAGAGTTTCACTCTTGTTGCCCAGGCTGGAGTGCAATGGTGTGATCTTGGCTCACCGCAACCTCCACATCCCAGATTCAAGTGATTCTCCTGCCTCAGCCTCCCAAGTAGCTGGGATTATAGGCATATGCCACCATGCCTGGCTAATTTTTTGTATTTTTAGTAGAGGCAGGGTTTCTCCATGTTGGTCAGGCTGGTCTTGAACTCCAAACTACCTCAGCCTTCCAAAGTGCTGGGTGGGATTATAGGCATGAGCCACCGCATCTGGCCCAAAGATTACTTTTTATGGCTAAAAAGTAAATGTATTATTATATTCAGCATTACTATTAATATATTATTAAATCTGTAGAATACTCTACCGAGCACTCACATTCGTCATCAAATCTGTATTTCATATAAACTGTGAGGTAAACTCACAGAAGGGAATAGATGTCATTACCCTCATTTACAAATAAAGAAAAGATGCTTAAAAAGACTAAATGATTTGTCCATTTTGGCAAAGCTATTAAATGACAAAGCAGGGATAAAATTCCAAGACCCCAGTATCCTTTCCACTAAACTACATTGATTATTGGCACCTAAGTTCACAAATCCCAAAGGCTGTCCGGTTTGCACAAAAAAACTATATATACATATATATTTATTTATTTTCTTTTTGATACATAGAAAGATACATGCTGTGTCACCCAGGATGGAGTGCAGTGATGCGATCTCAGCTCATTGCAACCTCTGCCTCCCAAGTTCAAGCAATTCTTGTGCCTCAGCCTCCTGAGTAGCCGGGAGTATAGGTGTTCACCACCACACCTGGCTAATTTTTTTTGTATTTTTAGTAGAGATGGTGTTTCTCCATGTTGCCCAGGATAGTCTCTAACCCCTGACCTCAGGCAATCTGCCCACCTTGCCCTCCCAAAGTGTTGGGATTACAGGCATGAGCCACCACGCCTGGCCAAAATACATTATATTTCTGATAGAACATTCAAGGTACGTAATAGGAGCTGTGAGAGGGAAAAACAAATTCCAGCTCTGTTTATATTTCACTAATCAGCCTAGGGATCAAAAGTATTAAGAAAGACAACTTTACCTCTGATAGTCTTCCAAAGCCATTCCCTCCTTGAAAGTGGGATAGAAAGGAACAGAGTAAGGACACTTCTTATGTAGATGAGCAAGAATGAGGTCCCCTACTCTGGGGTGGAGCTCCCAGATTCCGGACGCCACAACTGCAATAGGGAATGCTGCTTCATGGTGAGAGGCCACTTCCTCCTCGCCTTGTTTCTGAGAACACAGAGGTGGGTACAATTTTAACTTAATACCAGAGAAAGGCTGAAATCCTGTACACCAGCCTCTTCTTCCCATACCTCTAGCAACAAGGTTTCTTACCACAAATTTCTCTGCCAGTTTGTATTGAACAAAGTCCAGCCCCTGTGGGTTAAGTGTGACAGACACAGAGCGCCCACCAGATTGAACAGGTTTTCCAGAGAGCAAGCTGTGAATCTTGTCAAAGATCTCCTTCAGTTTTGAGCCTGAGCATGATAGAGAGAAATTAAAAGATACAACCACAGATCAATCTTTTTTCCTTTTCTTTGAGACAGTCTTGCCCTGTTACCCAGGGTGGAGTGCAGTGGCATGATCTTGGCTCACTGCAAACTCTACCTTCCAGGCTCAAGTGATTCTCATGCCTCAGCCCCCCAAGTAGCTGGGATTACAGGCACCTGTCACCATGCTGGGCTAATTTTTGTATTTTTTTTTTTTTTTTGTCTGAGATGGAGTTTCACTCATTACCCAGTCTGGAGTGCAATGGCGGGATCTTGGCTCATTGCAACCTCCGCCTCCTGGGTTCAAGCAATTCTCCTGCCTCAGCCTCCTGAGTAGCTGGGATTACAGGCACACGCCACCATGCCCAGCTAACTTCTTGTATTTTTAGTAGAGACAGGGTTTCACCATGTTGACCAGGATGGTCTCGATCTCTTGACCTCGTGATCCACCCGCCTAGGCCTCCCAAAGTGCTAGGATTACAGGCATGAGCCACCGCACCCGGCCAATTTTTGTGGTTTTTTTTTTTTTTTTTTTTTTGGTAGACACTGGGTTTCACCATGTTGGCCAGGCTGGCCTTCAACTCCTGACCTCAAGTGATCCCCCCGCGTAAGCCTCCCAAAGTGCTGGGATTACAGGCATGAGCCACCATGTCCAGCCTGTTTTTCATCATTGTAATTACAAAGCATCTACAAAAACCCAGCTGTGCAGCCCTACAGAAGTTCAGGACCTACAGCCAAAACACTGGTACAGAACACATGACAATCACACGGGGATAGTCAAGTATGCAAGTCATGGTACTATTAGAAAGGAATTCCTTATCTGGGACTGAGCTAGTTCTGAAACTCACACATAAAATGAAGGGATAAACAGTATAGAAAGAGGTTACATTTTGTTACAGATCCCATGCACTATGGTTTGTATCTCTGGAGGAGTTAGTCACATCTCTAGGAGAAACCCTCTAAAGGATCTGCCCAGCTCATGATGATATGCCCCCTTCTCTGGGACTTGCCCTCCTCCATCCTCAGACACAGAAGTAGATTTGTAACAGCTATATTTGTACCAAAGATCCTGTATGCTCCACTCCCACACCAGCTACAGTTAGATTATAGGTAGTTGAGTTGAGCCAGCCAGTCAAGTAAGAGTCACTTCCTTTATAATCCCAGCACTTTGAGAGGCCAAGGCGAGTGGAACACAAGGTCAGGAGATCGAGACCATCCTGGCTAACACAGTAAAACCCCGTCTCTACCAAAAATACAAAAAAAATTAGGGGGGATGATGGCACATGCCTGTAGTCCCAGCTACTCGGGAGGCTGAGGCAGAAGAATTGCTTGAACCCGGGAGGCGGAGGTTGCAGTGAGACAAGATCATGCCACTGCACTCTAGCATGGGTGACAGAGTGAGACTCTATCTCCTGCAACCTCCACCTCTCAGGTTCAAGCAATTCTCCCACCTCAGCCTCCCAAGTAGCTGGGACTACAGGCACGTGCCACTACTCCCAGCTAATTTTTGTATTAGTAGACATGGGGTTTCATCACGTTGGCCAGCCTGATCTCAAACTCCTGATCTCAAGTGATCCATCCACCTCATCCTCCCAAAGTGCTGGGTTTATAGGCATGAGCCAACGTACCCGGCGACATCCACCTTTTTTGTTTTTTCTGAGATGGATTCTCACTCTGTCACCCAAGCTGGAGTATAATGGCACGATCTCGGCTCACTGCAACTGCCACCTCCCAGGTTCAAGTGATTCTTCTGTCTCAGCCCCCTGAGTAACTGGGATTACAGGTGCCCACCACCAGCACGCTCAGCTAATTTTTGTATTTTAGTAGACGCACGGTTTCACCATGTTGGCCCGGCTGGTCTCTAACTCCTGACCTCAGGTGATCCACCTGCCTAGGCCTCCCAAAGTGTTGGGATTACAGGCGTGAGCCACTGTGCCCAGCCAACATCCACCTTTTTCAAAGAGACAGGAATTAGGTGATCTTTCTCTCCTATTCATTCAACATTTACTGAGCACTAACTCTAGAGCATGCTCTGTGTCTGGCTGGACTACAAGATCTTAAAGAGCTTATAGTTTTGATGGAGATAAAGGGAGAGTCAGGAAATGTGTAGAAAAATGAGAAAAGGCAAAGTTAGAGACTAATTCGATATGATGAGTGAAATAGAGGCAGCAGTCATAAAGATGACTCCCAGGTTTCCAGCTAAGGTTACTGAGTTGATAATGGTGCTACTGATTAATCAGAGAAAACAGGAGACAATTAGGCCTACGGAAGATGATGAGTTTGGATTTGAACACATTAAACTTGAAGCAGCTAAGAGACATATAGGCAGAGATGTCCTTCAGGTACCTGGAGCTAGAGAATCTGAAGCTCATAAGAAAGGAATAGTAGGTTTGGGAGTCAGCAGCATACAAGTAATGTTTGAAGCCCTGTAAGTTGAGAGAATGAAAAGAACTGCAAGATAGGAGTGGATCCCTAGGAACCTACAATTAGAGTGGGGTAAAAGGTTTAGAAACTCACAAAGGGGAGAGAGAGGAGAAGAGAGGAAGGGGGAGGGAGGCAGGAGAAGAACCTGGAAAGTAATGGTGCCATGGAGGCCAAAGGAATACAGTTGCACAGAGAAAGTAGCAACAGTGCCAAACAGAAACCTGAGGAAGGTCAGCAAACACTTAGAAGACAAAGGATCAAGGGAAACTCACGTTTAGGATGTAAGGGGCTCGCGCATATTTAAAGGCTGAGAGAGAGGAGCCTACAAAAAGGGGTAATCACAGAAAACAGGAAAGGCAATAAACAATAAGGCAAAGTCTGACAGGAGACAGGAAGGAAAGGGAACAAGCACAGATGTGGAAAGGTAAGCCTGGCAACAAGGACAACTCATCCAGTGACACAGGAGACTAAGATAAATGTCACTGTGCAGTCATGGAAGGGGCTCTGAAGAGCTCATACTGGATGTCTCCATTTTCTTGATGAAGGAGGTACTGAGGCTGTCTGTGGTCAACTGAGGGGAAGCTGGTAATGGCCATCAAGGTGTGGAGTGGCTGTCCAGTCAACCTCTCCCACTCAAAGTGCTATCAAAGGACATAGCGCTTTGAATTCCACAAAGTGATACCTTATTTATTTATTTATACCTTGCCCTGTTCCAGAAAGAATTTTAGGCAGTAAAGTCATATCTAAGTTTTGTCGGACTGCCTATCAAGGGCAGGAACAGAAATTTTCCTATGCTTTCCAGGCAATGAGAAGTGAACTGGGGAATGGAACCCATGATGAGTTAGAGGAGTGTTCCAATTGGACATACTCCCCAGCCACATGGCAGTTCAGTCTGTAATTTGGAGGCTTCACATCTATAGCTCCATACAAATGAGCCTCTGGTTCAAAAAAGTTTTTTCCTTGCCTGTTTCTCACTTTCTAAACCTCAGTCTCTGGAGAGAAAAGAAGGAGTCCTTGAGGATGAACAAGGCAAGGCCATCACTAGGTTCCCTTAGTGACATTTTCAGCAGCAACCTGCAACTTGAAAGTTGAGAGTCATCCTAATAATTTACTATAAGTAGGCAGCTTATTAAAAATGAGTCAACAAACTCATCATGATTATCTTCTTTTTTTTTGCTTTTGAGACAGAGTCTCGCTATTTCACCCAGGCTGAAGTGCAAGTGGCATGATCTTGGCTCACTGCAACCTCCACCTCCTGCGTTTAAGCAATTCTCCTGCCTCAGCCTCCTGAGTAACTGAGATTACAGGCACGCACAACCACCCCCAACTAATTTTTTTATTTTTAGTAGAGACAGGGTTTCATCATGTTGGTCAGGCTGGTCTCAAACTCCTGTCTTCATGATCCACCTGCCTCAGCCTCCCAAAGTGCTGGGATTACAGGTGTGAGCCACTGCACCTGGCCATGATTACATGTTAAAGAGGAAACGAAAAAAAAAAATAAATAAATAAATAAAGAGGAAACGAGCGAAACAAGATGTATATAACTCATATGTACCCGATCCAACTGTCAACATTTGTTTGAATATACTTTTATAGGAACCTTACAGATAAGTAGATTTGGAGTCTAAAAAATAATACAATGAAGTGAAAGGTCATATTCCTTTTTTTTTTTTTTTAATTTATTTATTTTACTTTAGGTGCATACTATATCTGGCATTTCTCCCCATGTTATCGCTCCCCACCGTGAAAGTCATATTCTTATCTCCGCTGACCAACCTGCAATGGTAGAGATTTGGCTCACTGGGATGGTAGCAGCCTTCTGGAGGTCCATTTTTATCTTTTTGGCCTGCCAAAAGAGAACAGTGAGAAGGCAGATAGTGTTCTGAAGAGCTGAGTAGATGTCACTTAAAATCAGGTAATGTGACATGCCAGCTACATTCCTTTGGGACATGAAGTGTTCATTCTCTGAGCACCATCAAGCCCACAAAATTACTGCCATATACCACCCCTCCCCTACCTGACTGTCCTTGCTGTTGGTCAGGCCCTCAAAGGTCAACACACACTGCATGGAAGCATCCTGCAGCTGCTGGTACCACTTCATTGTACTGTCTTGTACCTTCACCTGGAGGTCTGAGAAATAAAAGAGAGGTTTTAGTAACAACTAGTATTTACTGAACATGTAATATGAGGCAGGCACTGTTATAATCACTTTATTTATGTACTAACTGCTTTAACTGTCACAATAACTATGAAGTAGATACTATTATTATCTCCATTTTATAGATAAAGAAACAGGAAACAAGCATGAAAGGTTAAGTGATTTGCCATGGTCACATTACTAGTAAGTAGAAAAACTAAGGCAGGGCACCCACGCCTGTAATTCCAGAACTCTAGGAAGCCAAGACAGGCCCAGGAGCTTGAGACCAGCCTGGGCAACATGGTGAAACCCTATCTCTACAAAAAATACACAAATTAGCCAGGCAGGATGGTGCATGCCTGTCGTTCCAGCTTCTTCAGAGGCTGAGTGGGTAGGATCACTTGAGCCTGGGAGGGTGAGGCTGCAGTGAGCTGTAATCACACCACTGTACTCCTCTAGCCTGAGTGACAGAGTGAGACCCTATCTCAAAAAAAAAAAAGAAAAGAAAAACTAGACTCCCAATGATTTGGCTCCAGAGTCAGCATTCTCAAACAATATGCTACACTGATTCTATTTTTTTGAGATAGAGGCTCACTCTGTAGCCAAGACTGTAATACAGTGGCACAATCTCGGCTCACTGCAACCTCCAACTTCTGGGTTCAACAGATTCTGCCTCAGCCTCCTGAGTAGCTGGGACTATAGGTGCGCACCACCATGCCCAGCTAATTTTTGTATTTTTGGCAGAGATGGAGTTTTGCCATGTCGGCTAGGCTGGTCTCGAACTCCTGACCCCTTATACATATTAAACAAACACATATTTTTGCGCATTTATTTAAAATAGCAGCAGCAATAATTGAAGTAATGTATCTGCTATAATTATGTAGAATTTGAAGTCTTCACAGAAAGTGTTGGAATCTTAAATCAGGCTCCACTTCAACCAAAACTGAATGAAATACATTATGTAAAATTCTGATTAACTGTCCTATATAGTTTAACACAACACTCAAAATACACTCTTGTTTCTCTTCACATTTGAAACTTACACCAAGTTAAAGGACCATATCCACACTGAAACCCACCTTCAATCTGTTTCCCTCCTGGGCCCTGGCTGGAAGCTAGGGGCTCTTTGTGAGCCTCTGGTCCCTGCTGCATCTGTGCCTCTTGCAGCTTTACCTGGGCCTCCTCTTCATCCTGCCTCTTCTTGTCTTCACAGGCTCTGGCGATCTCCTGCCCCAAGTTCCTAAGGAGGTCCCGCATTTCCTGCAGAGCTCGCTCAGCCTCAGCTTGGCTCTCTGCTGTAGGATAGCCACTCTGTCAGAGTGACATCATACCTTAGGTAAATCATACCTCACACAAGTCAGTAAATTTCCTATAATTGGAATTGTTGCACCAATGGAGTATCCACATTCAACAAATTGATACTACTTTCCCGTTCTCTTAAAGGTATTAATAATTCCAATTTACTATCACATCCTCAGTTTCTAAGTATAAATTTTTCTGTATTCTCAGCAACAAGGGCCAGAGTAATTTTTTTTTAAAAGCTTGTGACAATATGTTAGACAAAACTAATACGGTTTTTTTTTCTTTGAGACAGAATCTCTGTCACCCAGGTTTGAGTGCCATGGCGGGACCTCAGCTCATTGCAACCTTCGCCTCCCAGGTTCAAGCGATTCTGGTGCCTCAGGCTCCCAAGCAGCTGGGATTACAGGTGTGTGTCACCAGGCCCAGTTAATTTTTGTATTTTTAGTAGAGACGAGGTTTCACCATGTTGGCTGAAACCTACTGGCCTTGAACTCCTGGACTCAAGTGATCTGAGACTCGCTTGAACCTGGGAAGCAGAGGTTGAAGTGAGCCATGATCACACCACTGCACTCCAGCCTAGGCAGCAGTGTAAGACCCGGTCTCAAAAAAAAAAAACAAAAAAAAAACCCCAAAAAGCAAAGAAATAGGGCAGGTGCAGTGGCTCAAGTAATCCCAATACTGTGGGAGGCTAAAGTGGGAGGATCACTTAAGCCCACGAGTTCAAGACCAGCCTGGGAAACATAGTGAGATCCCTTTCTCTAACTTAAAAAAAAGAAAAAAGTTCTGCATGGCGGCTCACACCTGTAATCTCAGCACTTTGGGAGGCTGAGGCAGGGGAATCACTTGAGCCCAGGAGTTCAAGGCCAGCCTGGGCAACATGGCAAAACCCTGTATCTACAAAAATACAAAAATTAGTGGGGCATGGTGGTATGCACCTGTAGTCCCAGCTAGTCAGGAGGCTGAGGTGGGAGGATCACTTGAGCCCGAGAGGCAGAGGCTGCAATGAGCTGAGATTGTGTCACTACACTCCACCCTGAATGACAGAGGGGGACCCCATTTCAAAATAAGAAAAAGTAAATTAAAAAGATTCCAGAATAAGCGGGTATAAAAATAAAGAAATAAATAAACAAAATAAAATGTTAACAATGGTTACTTCTAGGTAAAGAGATGTGGAGATAACAAGTAATGTTTGGTATTTCCCCCAATAAGCTGATAGCAGACATTACTTTTTAAGTCAGAAAATAATTTTGCTTTTAAGGTCTTCCATTTCAAAGACAGCAAAGAATCAATCTGAAGCCCCCCTCACCTCTGAAGAGGACCGGATGATCCCTGAGATGAGGCTGCATAGCTGGTTGCCTCGGGTCCGAAAGGCAGCCAGGTCGACCTTAAGCAGGCTTCTGTGCTGCTCAGAAGCATCCAGCTGCTGGCTGAGCTGCAGCATCTCCTCCTGCAGAGCATAGAGGGCTCGAAGGCGAACCTGGCCTTCTTCCTTCCGAAGCCGCTCCTGCTCTGCTTGCTTCATGCGCTGCTGCTCTGCCTCCCGCAGCTTCAGGTTGAGAATCTGTAGAAAGGGCTGAATTACTTCTGAGGGGCTCCTGGGCTTCCTCTTTCTATAATCCTCAAATTCTATGTGGGCTACATATTTTCACAGATGGGCTCAGAGCCAGTAAAGGACATCCCAGAGTTAGTCACACACAGATATAATATGGCCTAGACCCTCCATGTGACCATCTGCCAAAACCTGGCTCTCTAGGCAGGTTACAGACAGACTATACACCCACACCAGTTTTGACAGGCTCTGACCTTTGCTCTGTGACGGTGCTCAGCTTTTAGCTTCTCTTGGTGTCCCAAGGCTTCTCTGGAGCTGCACGAACAATGGTAGGGAGGAACAGTCAGGAATATTCCCTAAAATTGTTACTCTTTTCTATCGCTCTCCCTGCTCCCTCTTCCCTTCCTTTCTTTCTTTTTTCTTAGAGATGTAGTCTCATTATGTTGCCTAGACTGGAGTGCAGTGGCTATTAACAGGTGTGATCATAGCTCACCACAGCCTCAAACCCCAAGGTTGAAGCGATCCTGCCTCAGCCTCCCTAGTAACTGAGACTACAGGTGTGTTCCACCATGCCCATAAAATTGTTCTACCTCTCCTAAAATCCTCCTTCTTTGTGTTACTTTTATTGCCTTTCCAAGTTTGATCATTTTTCCAGGTTATAAACTTCTCTACCTATTTTACTTTGATATTTAAGAACTAAGAAACTGTTCAACTCTTTCCCCTTGGAACCCCTCTTGGGAAAGAGTTCCAGTTGAACACATCAATATTCCCAGTCATAATTCAGGGAGACTCACCTCTTCTCCATTACTTCCCGCAAGTCCTGGAATTCTTTATGCTGCTTCAGTTCCTTCCGTTCATCAAACCGCTTCAGTTGTTCAGATGCCATCTCTGAGAGGGCTCGCACCTTCCTCTCCTGCTCCTCCTGCCATTGCCTTAGGCCCTCCTGAAAAGATTCAGCACCTGTTCTATGGAGCTCCTTCAACACCTTGATCATTCACCTCTGTGGGCTACCTGCCCAATGGCCCCTAACACCATCAGAGATACTTAAGGGCATGGAATCAGAACCTTTGCAGGAGTCTTCTGTCTCCTTTTGCTTGATCTTGTAAATTCAGCTGTTTTGGAAAGCTCTTCCAATTCGCCCCATATGGTTTATGTCACTCCAGTACAAGCTGGGAGCAGACAGGAATTTAGCAACATGGCATCAAACAGCCAGGCACTATTAAGATTCCATCCTGTGTAGTCTTATCGGGCTTCCTTCGTAATTTACGGAAATCATTCTAATTCCATAAACAGGCTATATACATTCCTATCTCCCTGCTTCTGCCTAGAAGATTTTCTCCTGGACCTCCACTGAGAGAAGTCCTTTTCCTTAGTACCTAAGGGTATCAAATATTTCATTTTTCATTTCATGAAAGTACTCATGTATCATTAAAGGCAATCTGACATTTTAGTATCAAAATTTGAAGTGTCTCTATCCTTTGACATTTTGACACCTGAGGAAATGCTTGTATGTGTGTGCAAAGATATAGGTACAAGAATGCTCACTGCAGCCCTGTTGATAACAGCAATAAATATAAAACCACCTAACGGGGGAATGATGACATGTATTAGAGTACAGTCACACCGGAGAATACTGTGCAGCCCTTAAAGACAACAAGATGCCAACTAGCATGGAGATATGTCAAAAGGTATTGTTAAGACATTATGTTTTTCTATTTTTTTTTGGCGGAGTTTCCCTCTTGTTACCCAGGCTGGAGTGCAATGGCGTGATCTTGGCTCACTGCAACCTCTGCCTCCTGGGTTCAGGCAATTCTCCTGCCTCAGCCTCCTGAGTAGCTGGGATTACAGGCATGCACCACCATGCCCAGATAATTTTTTGTATCTTTAGTAGAGACGAGGTTTCACCATGTTGACCAGGATGGTCTCGATCTTTTGACCTCATGATCCACCCGTCTCGGCCTCCCAAAGTGCTGGGATTACAAGCGTGAGCCACCGCGCCCGGCCCTATGTTATTCTATTTTAAAACATATTATGGTGGTGGGGGGTGGCTCACACTTGTAATCCCAGCACTTTGCAGGGCTGATGTGGGCAGGTCACGAGGTCAGGAGTTTGAGACCAACCTGGCCAATATGGTGAAACCCCATCTCTACTAAAAATACAAAAAATTAGCCAAGCATGCATGCTGGCACGTGCCTGTAGTCCAAGCCACTCAGGAAGCTGAAGCAGGAGAATTGCTTGAACCCGGGAGGTAGAGGTTGCAGTGGCTCAAGATTGTACCATCTCACTCCAGCCTGGGTGACAGAGTGAGACTCTATCTCAGAAAAAAAAGTATTATATTTTATTTTGTTTATTTATTTATTTTTGAGACAGGGTCTCACTGTATCATCCAGGCTGGAGTGCAATGGCACAATTATAGCTCACTGCAGCCTTGAGCTCCTGAGCTTAAGGGATCATCCCACCTCAGCCACCTGAGTAGCTAGGACTACAGGTACACACCACCACACCTGGCTAATTTTCAATTTTTTTGTAGAGTCAGGGTCTCACTATATTGCCCACGAAGGTTCACTTACTGTTCCTTTCATTCTGTGTACCAATTCATACATTCGGATGCAGCCTTCCACTTTGATCCCCCGTGAGGATTGAAGTACCATAGATTCTGTGTGCTGGGACTCATCTTTGTCCTGTATGAATAAAAAATGGAAAAAGAATTAAGTTTTTAATATGTAAAGTTGGTGTTATCTCTTCTAGTTAAAGACCACATCCAAACTTATGAACAACCATCAATAACAATAGCAAAAAAAAATTTTAGGTCAATCGGTGGGCTTTTCATGAATGACAATAACTTTGTTCTAATTGTTTTCTTTAATAAATTGATGTTTGTAACTTTGGGTTTTTTTTTTTTTAGATTTTTCTATGTTTTTCTGGCTTGCCTGTTTTACTCCGCTCAGAAAATGTTCCCCCTTTTTTCTGATCAGTGTCCATTTGTCCTGGGGTGGTTTGGATGGAGCATCCCCAAGCCACATCCCTAAGCTTCCACCCTCCTGGCTTCAGGATAAAGCTGGCAATCAAAGTACTCTACCCTCAGGCCAAGCCTGGCTCACACCTGTAATCCCAGCATTTTGGAAGGCCAAGGTAGGCAGATCACAAGGTCAGGAGATTGAGACATCCTGGCCAACACGGTGAAACCCTGTCTCTACTAAAAATGCAAAAAAATTAGCTGGGTGTGGTGGCGTGCGCCTATAGTCCCAGCTACTCAGGAGGCTGAGGCAGGAGAATCGCTTGAATTCGGGAGGAGGAGGTTTCAGTGAGCTGAGATCACGCCACTGCACTCCAGCCTCTCGACAGAATGAGGCTCTGTCTCAAAAAAAAAAAAAAAAAAAAAAAAAAAAAAAAGAAAAAGAAAGAAAGAAAAACCAGGCCAGCATGGTGGCTCACACCTGTAATCCCAGCACTTTTGGAGACCAAGGTGTGCAGATCGCCTGAGGTCGGGAATTTGAGACCAACCTGACAAACATGGAGAAACCCCATCTATACATTAAAAAAAAAAATACAAAATTAGCCCGGTATGGTGGCTCATGACTTTAATCCCAGCTACTCCAGTGGCTAAGGCAGAAGAATTGCTTAAACCTGGGAGGTAGAGGTTGTGGTGAGCTGAGATTGAGCCATTGCACTCCAGCCTGGGCAACAAGAGTGAAACTCACTGAAAAAAAAAAAAAAAAAAAAAAAAGGTATTCTATCCTCCTATGTTCATTATGGACTTCAGGAATGAAACATGACTCTAGTTAGGCCAGAGTCCATCTCTGAATTTCTCTAATTTTTTTTTGAAACAAGGTCTGGCTCTGTCTCCCAGCCTGGAGTACAGTGGCATGATCATGGCTCACTGCAGCCTGAACCTTCCAGCCTCAATTGATCCTCTTGCCTAAGACTCACTAGTAGCTGGGACTACTGGGTACACGCCACCATACCCAGCTAATTTTTGTATTTTTTGCAGAGACAGGGTTTTGTCATGTTGCCCAGACTGGTCTCAAACTACTAGTCTCTCACAGGTAAGCCTCCTACCTCGGCCTCCCAAAGTGCTACAATTACAGGCGTGAGCCATCATGCCTGGCCTATTTTTTTTTTTTTTTTCAGTTTTTTTTGAGATAGGGTCTTACTCTATCACTCACGCTGGAATGCAGTGACACTATCTAGGCTCACTGCAGCCTTGACCTTTCAGGCTCAAGGATCCTCCCACCTCAGCCTTCTGAGTAGCTGGGACCATAGGCATGAGCCAGCCACCATGTTCAGGTAATTTTCTGTATTTTCTGTAGAGATGGGGTTTCCCCATGTTGCCCAGGCTGATTCGAATGCCTGAGCTCAAGTGTTCAGCCTGCCTTGACCTCCCAAAGTGCTGGGATTACACACACCACTTTTTTATTTTCATTTAACACACCTGACATGGACATCTTTGAACTTTTCTGATGACGTTATCTGGGAATGCTAACCTACGAAGATGTGAGTCTAGGGCTACAAGTAGCCATCTTGCCACCTAGAGTCTATCTCAACAATGAAACCAAGATTTGAGAAACAGAGGCAAAGCCCTGTGTTTGGGTCACTAGATTGAGTCAAAAATATCAATCCTAGTGGAGAAGATGTTTGAAAAATAATGTCAAGCAGAAACATGGAGAATATAGATTTTCCTAGATCTAACTGATTCCAAATGCACTCCTAGACTTCCTAGTTATATGAATTAATTAATACTCCCTCAATCCCTTGCTTAAGCCAAACTGGGTTTTTCTTACTTAAATAGCAAAAATTCCTAAATAATGTGACAAACCATAACATAAAACCATTTAAGAATTTATTAGGCCAAGCATGGTGGCTCCAAAAATTATGGAATTTTATACGTGAAAATGACCTCAGGCTGGGCACGGCAGCTCATGCTTGTAATCCCAGCACTTTGGGAGGCCAAGGTGGGCAAATTACCTGAGGTCAGGAGTCTGAGACCAGCCTGGCCAACATAGTGAAACCCTGTCTTTACTAAAAATACAAAATTAGTTCGGCATGGTGACAGATGCCTGTAATCCCAGCTACTTGAGAGGCTGAGGCAGGAGAATGATTTGAACCCAGGAGGCAGAGGTTGCAGTGAGTTGAGATCGTGCCATTGCATTCCAGCCTGGGGGACAAAAGCAAAACTCCATCTCAAAAAAAAAGAAAGAAGAAAGAAAGAAAGGAAAGAAAGAAAAAAGAAAGAAGAAGGAAAGAAAGAAAGAAAGAAAGAAAGAAAGAAAGAAAGAAAGAAAAGAAAAGAAAAGAAAAGAAAAGAAAAGAAAAGAAAAGAAAAGAAAGAAAAAAGGATCTCAGCAATTTGGTCCAGTATTAAATTTATAAAGAAACTGAGGGAAAGAGGCCTACCTGAGGGCATGCCACAATATTGGCAGGATCAGACTAGAACCTGCTGCCAAGAAACTCCTCATAAAAATACCTTTTGTTGGCCGGGAGCGGTGGCTCAAGCCTGTAATCCCAGCACTTTGGGAGGCCGAGGTCTCCCTCGTGACCAGGTGGATCACGAGGTCAAGAGATCGAGACCATCCTGGTCAACATGGTGAAACCCCGTCTCTACTAAAAAAAAATACAAAAAATTAGCTGGGCATGGTGGCGTGTGCCTATAATCCCAGCTACTCAGGAGGCTGAGGCAGGAGAATTGCCTGAACCCAGGAGGCAGAGGTTGTGGTGAGCCGAGATAGCACCATCATTGCACTCCAGCCTGGGTAACAAGAGCGAAACTCCGTCTCAAAAAAAAAAAAAAAAAAACCTTTTGTTTTTTGTTTTTTTATTTTGAGACAGTCTCACTCTGTCACCCAGGGTGGAGTGCAGTGGCACAATCTTGGCTCACTGCCACCTTCGCCTCCCAGATTCAAGCCATTCTCCTGCCTCAGCCTCCCAAGTAGCTGAGATCACAGGCACATGCCACCATACTCGGCTAACTTTTTGTATGTTTAGTAGAGACAGGGTTTCACCATCTTGGCCAGGCTGGTTTTGAACTCCTGACCTTGTGATCCACCTGCCTCGGCCTCCCAAAGTGGTGGAATTATAGGTATGAGCCACTGCACCCAGCCAAAATACTTTAAAATTTTTTTTAATTTTGAAAAAAATAAATAAATAAATAAAAAGAAAAAATGTTTAATTTTGAAATAATTAAGGTTCACAGAAAGTTGCAAAAATACATACAGGAAGGTCCCATGTACTTTTCACCCAGTTTTCCCAAATAGTAATGTCCTTCATAAATACAATAAAATAACAAAACCAGTAAATCGATATTGGTACAATCCACAGAGCTTATTCAGATTCACCAGTTTTAAAGGCATTCATTTGTACTTAGGTATAATTCTATGCAATTTTTTTTTTTTTTTGAGACGAAGTTTCGCTATTGTTACCCAGGCTGGAGTGCAATGGTGTGATCTCGGCTCACTGCAATCTCCGCCTCCTGGGTTCAGGCAATTCTCCTGCCTCAGCCTCCTGAGTAGCTGCGATTACAGGCACGCGCCACTATGCCCAGCTAATTTTTTGTATTTTTTAGTAGAGACGGGGTTTCACCATGTTGACCAGGATGGTCTTGATCTCTTGACCTCGTGATCCACCTGCCTCGGCCTCCCAAAGTGCTGGGATTACAGGTGTGAGCCTGGCCAATTCTATGCAATTTTATCACATGTAGATTCATGTAAACACCACCGCACTCAAGATACACAGCTGTTCTATCACCACCAAGCCCCTTATGTCACACCTATCTTTATAGCCACACCACCTCCACCTCCACCCCTCATCTCTAATCAATTCTCCTTCTCTATAGTTCTGCTAATTCAGGAATGTTAAATAAATCTTCACCCAGCCCTAGATGTTGGTTATATTGTAGTTCTAAAAGGCTTAGTTTTTTTTACATTGAAGTCCATGATCACTTTGAGTTAATTTTCATATAAGATATGACACTTAGGTTGAGGTCCATTTTTTTGCCTAAGATGTTCAGTTGCTAAAAATATATATTTTAAAGTACCTAGACCTTTTCCGGCAACAACAAAAACAACAACTACAAAATATATATATTTTGAGACTGAGTCTTGCTCTGTTTCCCAGGCTCTAGTGCAGTGGGGCAACCCTGGATCACTGCAACCTCTGTCTCCCAGGTTCAAGTGACTCTTGTGCCTCAGCCTCCCAAGTAGCTGGGATTACAGACGTGCACCAACACAGCTGGCTAATTTTGTATTTTTAGTAGAGATTGGGTTTCAGCTCGTTGGTTAGGCTGGCTAAACTTCTTATCACAGTGATCCACCTGCCGCAGCCTCCCAAAGTGCTAAAATTACAGGCATGAGCCACCACACCTGGCCACAAAAAATATTTTTAAAGACTAATATTTTAAAAGATGAGCTACTAGATATGAAAAAAAAAAAAAAAAAAAACCCACTTCTATGTTAAAAAAAAAAAAAAGAAAAAAAAATGCCGTGCATAGTGACTCACACCTGTAATCTCAGCACTTTGGGAGGCCAAGAGGGGCGGATCACAAGGTCAGGAGGTCAAGACCATCCTGGCTAACACAGTGAAATCCCATCTCTACTAAAACTACAAAAAATTAGCTGGGCATGGTGCACCTATAATCCCAGCTACTCAGGAGGCTGAGGCAGGAGAATCGCTTGAACCCGGGAGGCAG